GGGCCTGGGCCTGGGCCTGGGCCTGGGCCTGGGCCTGGGCCTGGGCCTGGGCCCGGGCCTGGGCCTGGGCAGGCACTTGGTAGTCCGTGCTACCTCTAAGTCTTTTTCCTCTTCTTTCCCCCTTTTTTTCCTTTAGTAAACAAATTCTTATGTGTTTTTGTTATGTGTTTATTGTATCCCTATCCTAGGAACCAATATTTCAAAAAACTGAGTAAGACAGTACTTTCAAGTTAAAATCAGAGTGCATTGCCTGACAACATGGGGAGGAAATTCTTAGGGCTTCTTTCAGATGCAGTTTTAGGAAGGGTCAGGAAGAAGTCTGAGTGCACAATGGCTGCCCTGGATGAAGGGGCAAAGAGAAGGTTCTAAAAAGAGGCAGCAAGGTAGACTGACAAAAGTTTGCATTTAATTTATCAAGGTTTTTTTTTTTTTAAAAAAAAATTAATTCAACAAGTATCTGTAAAAGAAGAATTTAAGAAAAACATCCAATTCAAGGATGAATTCCTGACAGTTATCATAGTAAGCTCAATCTAAAACTTTCAAAATTAAGTAAACAAAGCAACAAAGACAAACAAAAAAATCGCACCTCAAGAATGTGGCAAAATTGAAGAAAACATGTAATTACTCAGCAACAAATAAGGTTGTACTTCCGGGTTCTAGAGCAATGCATGTACAGACAAGCCCTCAGGCAGAAGTGTCTGAATGTTAAAGGGATCATGAGACCCACGCGTGAGCATGTGTGGTTACATCCACGTATGACTCAGCTAAGCCCTTGTGTGCAAGTGTGAGCCCTATCATCTGCGTATGATGTAGTCACGCCAACCCTCTGTGCGCATGCCCTAAGCAGCCTTTAAAATGCCGGGCAATGGAGGCGCACACCTTAAATCCCAGCACTCGGGAGGCAGAGGCGGACCGATCTCTGTGAGTTCGAGACCAGTCTGGTCTATAAGAGCTAGTTCCAGGACAGGCTCCAAAGCCACAGAGAAACCCTGTCTCGAAAAAAAAAAAAAACAAGAATAAATAAATAAATAAATAAATAAATAAATAAAGCTGGACGCACCATCTTTCTCTCTCTCGCTGCACACTGATTCCCCAAGCCTGTACAACCCCCCTCTAATAAACTCCTAAGCGGGTTTGTTGCATGTTTTGTGGTTCCTTCTCACTAGCTCTAGGTAATTTCAAAACATACCTTTTTAAAGTTACAGGGAAAAAAAAACTTTATAAGAAACTAAAGATTTTGATATAGACAAAAAATTAGTTAAAGTAGCTACCTTTAGAGAGTGAAATTCATAGACAAAGTATTTGGGACAATGAATCACTCACTGTTTGCTGTTGTTATCTGCTTTTTAAAATCATTTGGATTTTTAAAATACAAACACATTTTATTTTTTTTTAAAAAAAATTACATTACATATGCAATTGCCATACCCAACCTCCCACTTCAGCAAACTCTCCCCTAAAGACACAGGGAGGTTTGGAAGCATTTTGTAGCACCACGCAGCTCTTAAAACTACTTCAAGCAAAAAGGTTCAGAGCTCCTGAAGCAGAATCCAATTTCAGGAGGAAAATATATTAAATATGTCCTATTTTTCTCTTTCTCTTTCTTCCTTTCTTATTCTTTTTTTCCTTTGTTTTCTTTTTTTGAAACAGAGTCTCACATTTTGGCCCATCCTGGTCTGGAACTCATGGCAACTATGTCTCCTAAACACTGGAATTAAGGCATAAGCCCCATGTCTAGAAAAATTGCTTCCTTAATAATTACATTTGAAGTCAGATATTCATAACTGTCTATATTACCATCATAGCATGAATTTAGTTATATCCACAATCTCCTGAGTCACATATTCTACGGTCAACATTCCATCTAGACCGGACACATTCAAAAGACAGGGAAGGGTCATTGTTGCTTAAAACCCATCCATCTTCAGACTAAGCTGTGAGGATGAAGAAAATCAAGGATCTGGTTAAGCTAAGGGATGAGTGTGCATTCTCCAAACTGAAAAAGCATTGAGGAAGTAACCCATAACCTGTATTTTTAGGAATGAGTAGAAAGGACCAAAGAAGTAAATTCTAATTTCAGATAAAATCTACCTACTTGGTATCTGCTTTAATACTTCAATTTTTTTTTTTAGCTTGAATATGTCATACATATACATAATAGGTTTTGATCAAATTCACCCAGTGTTCCTTCTGAAGGGACACTAGCCCACTCCAGTCTGTGGCTCTGGCAGGCTTGCCCTTCTCCCCAGTACCCTCTGCCTTGCTAAAAACTGTGAGATTACTTTCCTAAAGCTGGCCCACAAGGTCTACTCCCTTGTTTGGCCACTTCCTCCTCCTGAGGCTGACAACCCAGGTCCAGCTATCAAAGTATGAAGTTCAGCAATCAAAAGCCCCCTTTGGTTCGCCTAATTAACATGCCCAATCAAAACATACCACCACATCCTAGCCCATTCTAACACAGGCCTCCCTTTGTACTCCCCGCAAAAATCACACCTGCAAGGTCCTTTGCTGATGTTTTTCTGGCTGAGCAGCCACTTCAACTTTTCTTCTTAGCTTAATAAAGGATCTTTCTGTGGAAACAGGTGTTGGGGTATCATTTGTGCCTACTCTGGGGTCTCACAGGAAGCCTCCACTCTGTAGGGATCTCCTTGATCTTCCCCTCCATTTTCTACTTTATCTTCCCACCATTCCCAACTTCTTGTGAGGTTGATTGTAAATCCTAAACCCACTTATACTTAGTGGAACCTATGTGTGCTGTGCATAGGGTGTGGTATAGAGTCCATGATTCAGATTTTATAGCATTTATCCTATTATAGGTCAACTCATTAACCTTGTTAAGACAGAAAATACAAGGCTGGGGAAATGACTCAGCTGTTTAAGTGCTTGACAAGAGAAGGAGGAGGAGAAAGAAACGAGAAGAAAAAGAAGCACAGAATTCTGTATTTGTCCCACAGGTCTGCTCTGGTTTGGCAGAGGAACTATCACAGGAAACTAACTCCACAGAGAAATTCAGAGAGCAAAAGATACAATACCAGATTTCTTTGTTGTTTGTAAATGAGGTCCACAGTCAGTCGTTTCTTAACTAGTTGTCCACAGTTACTTCTTAAAACAGAAGGACTCAAAACGATTTATCCCCAGATCGGTGACTTGATTATCTTTAGCCTGTGGAATCTGTTACCTCAATAATGCTTATCAGCTTTGGGACAAATTGAACACATTAATCAAAAATAAATGATAAATAAGGCCGTCTGTGAGAAGGACAGAAACCAGCTTCTTCTGATAATGGTAAAATCATTCTGTTTTAAGATCATATTGATAACATTAACTTGAAAAGAAACGACAGCTTTTGGGAGAATGATTATAATTACAAACAAAGGAAATGAATTTAAATCAGTATTATTTGAATCGAGAAGCACTAATTGTATGCCCAGGGGCAAGCAATATTCCGCAATTTACCTATATATGATTCTAAGGACAAGAAAAGCAGAATCTCTTTGGGACTCTTTTTTTTTTCTTCTTAACATAAAATTTGAAAGGAGGTTAGAAAAAAAATCTGAAGTTAATGATTTGTATATTTTTTTTTTTTTCCCAAATACGGTTGGGCTTGTGCCTGTGAAGCCTTCAAATGGTTAACGCTTATCCTGCGGCTGCCGGCTCCGCCACCTCCACAGCACAAATCACTCTCCCGGTACGGAAAGCAAACACGGAGCTGCATAGCAAGGCCACTCAGTTTAGGCAGAGCCGGGCAGCAGCAGGCAGCTGTGATCAGCTCTGAAACAATCCCGGGGTTTCCTCCACCTCTGCCTACCCCTTGGGCTGGGTTCCACCTATCTTTGGCCCACAGTAGCCCCCTGACAGAAATGCCTTTTTGTTACCTTGCTATTATGCCTGGCAGCTTCTTGTCCATGAATTCCTGCATGCATTGGTGTTCCGTGGAATTATTTAGAAACCTCCGGAAAGATTCCACGTATCTGCTGTGGTCAGAGAACAAGCTCCTCATGCAAGATGCCATATTGGGTTCCCTAAATAAAGACAGGGAGGGAGGGGAGCTACGTTAAACTTCCTCTCCTAGTTCCTCGTTCCTAGTTACTTTCTTTTCCCCTTTTCCCTCCCCTCCCCCAACTAGTTTCAATAATCCAGCCGTTCCCCAAGCCCGAGCAAATAAGGGCAAAAATAATACATGAATAAGAAATCAATTACAGCACTTAAACCTGCTTTGCATTTGACATGCACCCGACTAGCAAGCAGAGCTCAATGAGGCTTTCTGTGGGTGCTTTACCCCTGCACAGCTGAGCGAGGCAGTAAAGCAGCCGAGGTCCAGAAAGGCTGTGAAAGCATTCCAATCAATTCCTGTTTTTTCAGCAGCTGTCACAAGTAAGTTCCAACTAGGAAAGAGAGCTGTGTTTTCGTTTTTTTAGGCAAAACACTACACTGACCAGGATTGCTACAAGACCACAGTTGCGAGAATCTAGGGCAACCAGCAGCTGGCTCTGTGTGTCTGTTGTCCAAGAATTCCCTTTGTCTTCGTTTGTCTTGACTTTTGAATCTTAAGCTCAGCGGTTGATGTGTTGGAGTCAAATCCGGATTCTTTTTTTTTTTTTTAAGTCAAGGAGGAGCGTGAGCACTTTCAGCTAAATTTAAAGTAGCCTGAAGCTTTCCATATTCCCATAAAAGGATTAGCACGCTTATTCCTAATTTCTGAGCCTCTTGAAGCTGAAAACTTCACCACAGGTATTTAGCGCTCCGCTAAGTCCCACTTTCATCTCTAGGTGGTCCTTAGCTAAGAAAGACAAGAGCAGAGGCATAACTGCTTTCCAGACAAGTCTCACGTAGGCTTTTGTTACTTTAAAGGGTTAAAAACTGTGCTCATTCATTGACACTAGGGCCTACACGGTTGAGTCCTCCCACTGGCGAGGTTCTGTGCTGGTTACATGTTCTCCCTCTTTTTCCCAGCAGGCAGATCTAAGCAATACTAATAGCAGACCTAATTCCACTGAGTTCTGATGCATCAGAAGTAGCGTAAGTCTTTCAAAACCTAGTTTAAGGATTACTTTTTGCTGTTCCTCCGGGGATTTCCGCCCTGGACTCGGAAGAGTCTGAGATTCTAAGTGGTGGAATACTTCTCTCAAAGTATGGCAGCGAAATGGGGAAGGCCTGGGGAATGTTTTAAGGATGTTAAGACATAACTCTCACCCATGCGTTTATAAAAGTCTTAATATCCAATCCAAACTGTATGGGTAGAAGCCTCACCCTAGCCACTGGCATCCGGATGTTTGGGTCACTGGCATCCATATATCCAAAGAACCTGGAATGTTCCGGTGGAAGTTCCATACCAACTCCTTCTGCTGGGCATTTCCTCAGTCCAGACAGACAGACAGTCAACCGATGACCCCTCCCCAGAGATGCAAAAGACCACTCCCACAGGGTATTTAAATAGTACCCCAGAGAACAAATACATTGTTTTCCAGTCTTCCTCCCCTGCTTCTCTCTGAGGAGCTGGGAAGTCATCCAGGAGCGTTGGTATCCATTAAACCTGGGCTTTTTCTAATTCGGTTTGATTTGGTCTAACCTGAATTATTGCCTCGGTGGAGAGGCTTATGAAGTGCAGAAACTTTTCACAGACCTATCGCCTTGGACAGCCTAGATAGCACTCCCATTATAGTATGCTAAACTAAAGAAACCACATAGAAATAATCTCAAAAAAATACTAAATTCAATCTCTCTCTCTCTCTCTCTCTCTCTCTCTCTCTCTCTCACACACACACACACACACACACACACACAGCATGAGGAGAAATGCTTTTACACCTAACACTCAGGGGAACTTCTGATTATCAGTCTAAAAGGGCATTGTTTCCTTAGAAACGGAATTGCTGGTTTTGAACATTGTTGAGACTCTTAAACCAAATCATTAATTTAACCCCCAGATTCTTTGTCCACTCCCAGTAACCATACAGGAACGTGCTTTTAATACACAGAAAATACCATGCTTGTCTATGACTGTGCAAATTCGTTGTTGCATGATACTTGTGAATATTAATTTTCATTCCATTTCGTTGACGATAAGTAAGAGCGAATCTGGCCATTCTGTTAGAACTTCCATTCAGTCCTTTCGCTCTCATGTCAATTGGATCCTGGTGCTGTCTTCATGCGTGTGCCCTTTATAAACTAAGTATGTTGATCCTTATAACATTTTAACAAGCATTTTTCTTAATATTGCCTTTAACTTTGGGAAAATAAAACCCAGTCATTAAACAACCTGAAGTCAAGACTTAGAACAACATTGCTCATTCCATAAGGTATTATATTTTTATATAATTGGCTTCTCAATTCTCTTTGGTTGGAAAGACTCTGTGTTCCAGAAGAAGAAGAAGAAGAAGAAGAAGAAGAAGAAGAAGAAGAAGAAGAAGAAGAAGAAGAAGAAGAAGAAGAAGAAGAAGAAGAAGAAGAAGAAGAAAAAAAACAACAACAACAACAACAACAACAACAACCACCACCGTGGCCAGTGTTGGTGGCACGTGTCTTTAATTCCAGCACTTGAGAGGCAGGCATAGGTGGATCTCTGTGAGTTCAAGGTCAGCCTGGTCTACAGAACTAGTTCCAGGACAGATAGGGCTGTTACACAGAAAAACCCTTGAAAAAACCAAAGACACTTATAAATAAGCACAGGATGCCAAGAGTTCTGTATCCATAGAAACGACCACTGGGACTAGTGTATGATTTCACGATGTTCTGCATACTCCAAGATCTTCAAGATTTCATCAAATGCTCTACAGAATATAGATTATGTAGTTGAGTAACTTATAAAGGATGCTTATTTGTGTATTCTAAATATATACTAGCATATCAAAATCTTATATAACCATTTTCACATACTCTTGAAATATTTACTTGCCACTGGCCTTTTTCTGATTGGTTTTGCATATAAAATTCTTTTTTAAAAAAGGAAATCTTGTTGCTTTCAGCATGGCTTGCATTTTATTAAGTGCTGGTTTCAGCAACCACAACTTCCTTTTAACACATCATATAAAATATTTTTCCCAATCCTTAAGTCAAACAACAAGCTGGCTGGCTGGAATGGCCAAATCTGGAGAATTCTTCTTTCTCTCCCTTTGGAATACTAGACCACACACTACAACATCTATCACTGCAATAACTTCTCAGTGGTAATAAAACCATTATTATCTTTAAAAGTATTTTCAGCACATGAGGATGTAATTCTAAGACAATTTTAAAATGAAATTTAAGATTCTTATGTATTATCTAACCAAACTGGAGTACCCATTCCATGAGCTACCATTGATTAAGTTTTATCACATCAAAGTTCCTTGCACCCATTATGTCATTTAATACCCCAACCTCCTAGGTATGGAGTTATTGATATTAGTAGGATTCAGATCCCCTAATGTATAAAAGCTCATAAGACACCTAAAAGAATAAATTAATGTCTCATACAAGGATCATTATCTTTCTTAGATTATTCCATACTACTTCCTATTCTGAACCATTTCAATATGAAGAATACTTAGGTTATTATTTTCCTAATTACACTTAGAGCATTAAGTAATGGAGTAAAGTAGTCTTGTATTCCTCCTATGCTTATTCCGAGGATACCCTCTGTGCTACACATAAAATCCCTTCTTCCAATGTATGCTGTGCCTAAAAAGCAAGCAAATGAAAGGGAGACAAAACAATAGGAAAATCCGGAATATCCATTTGTTGTAAACAATGTTCTTCACTTTATCTACATTGACTCTGACTTAATATGAAGAACTGTGTTCTTACTTTTATAACTTCTTATCCTTAACTATATATCCAGTTTCTCTAGTTCCTGGCTATCTGGGCAGTGTAGAACATAGGTTCCCTCTCGTGGCATGAGACTCAAACCAGTGACCACTCCCACGGGTTCTGCACCACCATTGCCCTAGCACAACTCGCAGGCAGGATAGATTGTTGGTCAGTGTTTGTAACAGTGTTGGTGTCTACAGTTCTCTTTTGGTAGCCTACAAATTACTTTCTCACAGCAAAGAGACTAAAAGATAGGGGCAATGGCTCCATGCAAGCCCAAGTTTCACCTCTCCACATTTAGTGAGCTGTGGGAACGTTGTTCTCAGCAATGGGGCTAAACTGTCACTTTGCAGAGAGCGACCTTTTATTCTAACATCAGCTTGCAGGGTTTGGAGATCTCCATTGGACCCACTTGGCCTACAACTCAATTGAAAGCAACTGGAAGCCACTTCTGGCTATAAGAGATGGCCAACTGAAACTCCATATCCCCAGTTACTAAAAGTCTTCGTAAGATCACCCTCATAGATTCCAGGAAGTCTCCATGGCACTAGGTTTCCATGCTGCCCCCCCCAAATGCCTCCCAGCTCAAGCCATCGCTCCCTACATTCTCTCCCTGCCTGTAAAATTTCATGAGGTCATTGTTTTTAACACTGAGTAATACTTCATAGTGTAAATATAGCACATTTTGTTATCTCTTCTGTTGAGGGACATCGAGGCTGTTTCCTGATGAGCCTGAGGGATTGGGTCTGGGTGAACAGAGAGAGTGGAGCCCCTTCATGGACAGTCTGCCTAGTTTTTCTATTTTCTTTCTTTTCTTTATTTGTTTTTTGTTGTTGTTTGTATGTTTGTTTTTTTCAAGTTTGGGCTTCTCTGTGTAACAGTCCTGGCTGTC